CATAATAGCTTAATAATAGCTCATTGACTAAAAAATATCCCACCATGTGCTTATGACACTTTTCTTTTTAAATTTTTAAAAATCCATTTATTTTGTTTTATTTGTGTGGGTGTCTTGTCTGCATGTATGTCTGGTGCCTTCAGAGGCCAGAAGAGTGGGTTGGATCCTCTGAAACTGGAATTACAGATGGTTGTAAACCACCACCAAGTGGGTGCTGGGAATTGAACCTGAGTCTTTTGGAAGAGCAGCCAATGCTTTTAACCACTGAGCCATCTCACTTAATTTTCCTTTTTTTTTTTTTTTTTTTTTTTTTTTTGAGATGGTGTCTCACTTGTATATTCCTACTGGCTAGAACTCACTAGAGCAGGCCAGCCTTAAACTCACAGAGATGCACCTGCTTTTTCTTCAGTGCTGGGATCAAAGATGTGTATCACCACGGGTTACCGCCTCCCTGCTTTCTGAGCACAGGCTAGGACTCCAGCTTTGCTATAGAAGCCTACTGGTAGCTACAGTTCTCATACCCTGCCTACATATTAACAGTACCTTGTAGTTGGGAGATGCTGTTAGGCAGCTGAGATAAATGTGCCCAAGGGACAAGGAAATACTTGAGTCAGGTATCTTTCACAACAGCCATAAGAAAATCAGCAACTGGCATCAGATGTGATGGCATATTTGTAATCCCAACACATGAGAGGCTGAGGCAAGAGAATCTCAAATTTGAGGCTAGCCTAAGGTTCATAGTGAAACAAACTGTCTCAAAAAAAAAAAAAGTCAGGGATCAAGGGCTGGGTAATGGCTAGTAGAAAAGGGTTTGTCTGGTTTGCTTAAAGCCCTGGGTTCCCATCCAAACTCCCAAAATAGAAGGCAACTGGTTAAATAGGCACATTAAGAGAGCAGTGTTGAGTGCCGGGTGGTGGTGGCGGCGGCGGCGGCGGCGGCGGCGGCGGCGGCGGCGGCGGCGGCGGCGGCGGCGGCGGCGGCGGCGGCGGCGGCGGCGGCGGCGGCGGCGGCGGCTCACGCCTTTAATCCCAGCACTCGGGAGGCAGAGCCAGGCGGATCTCTGTGAGTTCAAGGCCAGCCTGGGCTACCAAGTGAGTTCCAGGAAAGGCGCAAAGCTACACAGAGAAACCCTGTCTCGAAAAACCAAAAAAAAAAAAAAAAAAAAAGAGAGAGAGCAGTGTTGAGCATTTTACATGTAAGATATGTGTAAGTTTCTCAGCAAATGCTAAGGAATGGAATATCTGGCTTAGTAGGGATGCTGTTGTAAATTGACCAGGTACTTTCTTTTAAAACATGATTTATTTTTATTTCATATGTATTGGTGTTTTGCCTGCATGCATGTCTGTACAAGGGCATCAGATTGCCTGGAACTAGAGTTAGAAACAGTTGTGAACTGCCATGTAAGTGCTGGGAATTAAACCCTTTGGAAGAGCAGTGCTCTTAACTGCTGAGCCATCTTTCCAGCCCCCGACCACGTGTTTTCAAAAACAATTGTTAGCAGTTTACCTTGCCAAGTTTTTTTTTTTTTTTTTTTTTTTTTTTTAAGATTTACTTATTTGTTACGTATACAGAAGAGGGTGCCAGATTTCATTATAGATGGTTGTGAGCCACCATGTGGGTGCTGGAAATTGAACTTAGGACCTCTGGCAGAGTAGTTGGTGCTCTTAACCTCTGAGCCATCTCTCCAGCCCTATCTTGCCAAGTGAATTCACATTTTCACTATTAATAGGTTAATGGACTTAATTTTTTGCCAATTTTGATGGCTGTAAAATGTCATTGTGATTTTAATTATAAAGATCTTGGTAGGATCTGAGCACTACATCTTTGTCGGTAGAGTTTGGTGTTCTCTCTGCACATTTTAGAGTATCTTTTGATAAAGATCAGAGGATCTTAATTTTAATTTATGTGAATTTCTTAACTTCTCCTTTGCTTGGCAAGAACATTGCTCTGACACTAGCTACACTCTGTTGATAAAGTTATAAAGGGCCAGCTCTAAAGGTGCTTTTACCATCAAGCCTGATGACTTGTGTTTGATCCTTGGGACCCACATAGTAGGAGAGCTATATCCCCCAAAGTTGTCCTGACTTCCACAGATACGGAGCATATGCATTCCCCACCCACATAAATTTGATAAGAATACTTTTTTTTAAAAGTTGTAAGTTTTGCCTTTCTAGTTTGTGCCAGTTTGAGGGGTCATGCAGATTCCAGATTGACTTTTTTAATTCTAACTAATGAGCGTATCTGGTTCTAAACCCAAGGTCCTATACTATATATACTCTTTTTGTATTCATGATCCTCATGAGGTTGGAATACAATTGTGAGCCCTATGCTTTGGTGTAGACCATCAGTAATTACTTCTTGGTCCTTGGTCTGGGTACAGGTTAATTTTTTTTTTTTTTTTTTTTTTTTTTTTTTGTGGGCGGGTGTTTCTAGACAGAGTTTCTCTGTGTAGTCCTTACTGTCCTGGAACTCACTCTGTAGGCCAGGGTGGCCTCAAACTCAGAGATCTGCCTGCCTCTGCCCCCTCCCCCATTAAAGCATACCACTGCCACCTGGCAAGGTTCATTCATTCCTTTTTTTGTTTGTTTTTTCAAGACAGGGTTTCTCTGTGTAGCTTTGCGCCTTTCCTGGAACTCACTTGGTAGCCCAGGCTGGCCTTGAACTCACAGAGATTCTCCTGGCTCTGCCTCCCGAGTGCTGGGATTAAAGGCGTGGGTTCATTCATTCTTTAGGCATGTGGATATTCAGGAAAAGTTGGCACCTAACTAGGAAAATCGCTACTAATGCGTTGCTTACCAATTCCACTTGTGGCAGCTAGGCTCATCAAATCCCCTAGTGGGGGTACTCTGGCTTGCAGGTACATGTTCTTAGTCAGTCTTAATTTATATCATAGCTATGCATTCTAGAAGTGAAGGAAGGCACAAGATTGTCTTCTGGGAAGCTAGGGAGACAAGTCATGGAAGTCTTGTTTTGCAGTCATGAAGACCTGAGAACCCGGGTGGGGGTGGGGGTGGGGGTGGGGGTGGGGGTGGGGGTGGGGGCGGGGGGCGGGGGCGGGGGCGGCCAAGCCTTTAATCCCAACACTCCAGAGGCAGAGACAGGCGGATCTCTGTGAATTCGAGGCCAGCCTGATCTACAGAGTGAGATCTAGGACAGGCACCAAAACTGCACAAAGAAACCTTGTCTTGAAACCCCCCCCCCCCCCCAAAAAAAAAAAAAAATCAGATGTGGTGACATTTACTTGTAAGTTCAGTATTGGGAGATGGTGGCAGGTGGATCCTCTTCGACTTGCTGGCCAGGTAGCCTAGCCCACTTGGCAAGCTTTAGATCAGTGAGAGATCCTGTCTCCAAAAAAAAAGTGGGTTGCTCCTAAAGAAAGGCATGGTGATTATCTTTTAGCTAGCATACATTCTCATTCTCTGTCTCTCTGTCTGTCTGTCTCTCTGTCTCTCTGTCTGTCTGTCTGTCTGTCTCTCTCTCTCTCTCTCTCTCACACACACACACACACACACACACACACACAGGATTCTGTTTCCAGTATCCCTGCTTGGTCACAACACTGTGCCCAAGGCCCTAGTTCCCACTTAACAATTGTGGTAGGAAGCCCAAAGGCATTGAGCTGAACTGAGCCTTCTGGGGCAGAAATGCTTGTTTAGAGACTGTTGGGACCATGTGTGCCCAAACACAATGTGTGTTCCTGTGGGCAAACAAACAGATGGCAGGGGATCTGGTGGCTTTTGGCATTTGTGCCACAACATATCTTTTCTGAATGATTTGTGACGGGCTAGAATGGATTGTAATTGCATGGTAGGTTTAAAGTTGTAGGCAGTGAGAGCAGCTTTGAGTGTTCTGGAGGAAGGTAGGTAGTGACTGTGAAGGATCAGTGGACATTTATTTCTTTTAAATTTTATTCTAAGGAGTCAGATGCCAGAATGACAGTATTCAAAGGTCATTGAGTCTGTGCATGTCTTACTAATGTGGTCTCAGTTGTGCTCGGAGTTTTTGATAGATTTAGTTTAAGGGACAGTTTTGTTATGTTGCCAAGATTGGCCTTAAATTGATCTCCTTCAGCCTTCTGAGTAGTGAGACACATGCCACTGTGCCTGGCCTTGCTGTATGTTGGTCAGGGTCTTTGTCCTGTGTCTTTCACAATGACGGCTGTTGTAACAGGAAGTGTAATAATTAGCCATCAGATACTTATTGATCCCTTTCTTCACTTTAATGAACATACTTTGAAAACTGGAAACATTCAGGCAGGTAGTAGTTTGGGAGTAGGTGAGACTGGCCTATAATGATGGGAAAACAACTATCTGTTCACACTACAGTTAAAGGTTACATCTAAGGTATGTGTACAATTTTGATTCTAAGTACTACTATGGCTTGCCTTGGAAATATAAAAATAGGTGTTATATACTAGATGGCCTTTTCACTAGCTTTTTTCATTCTATTGTAATGCTAGTTGTATGTTTTAATCACAGGGTCCCACAGAAAGATTTGTCCTTTTTAGTGCTGCTTTTTTCCTCTGAACATAAAGATGTTCTGTAGGGGGTCACCTCCTAATTTTGACTCTTCAGCACTTTTCTGCCTAGGATTTTTTATCATCTCCCTATCCCTGAAGACAAAAGTATCTTTGCTAGAGATTTAATCAATACTTTAAAGTTGGGCTAAGATCTTTCAGAAAGTATTAATATGAAAAAATATTCTGTAGCAGCTTTGCTCTTAATCAACAGAGTTGAGTTACCCAAAAGGTTAACTATGTATTAGGCACTTTGAATTGCTGTGTATTGGTTTTCTCTTCTTCTGAACTGGGAATGCTTCATTTTCTACAATGAGTATGAATGCAGGGATCATACAGCCTATAGTTTTTCTTTTTTCTTACATTTTTGGTCCAAAGTAGCAGAGGCTTGACCTCCAGCTTCCTAGTGCTGGGATCACTGGTCTGCCCTACCTGACCCTGCCCACCCGCCTGCCCTCTCTCTCTTTCCTCCTTTCTCCATTTAAAAAATATGGAACACTTCATAAATTTGCATGTCATCCTTGCACAAAGGGCCATGATAATCTTCTCTGTATCGTTCCAGTTTTAGTATATGTGCTGTTGAAGCAAACACTTTATTATTCTTTCAAGATTGTTGTATTAGAGCTGGAAAGATGATTTTCCAGAGGAGCCACATGGCCAGCCACAACTGTCCAGTTCCAAGGGATCTGACACCCTCTTCTGGCCTCGGATGGTACAAGACATGCATAGTATAGAAGCATGTAGACAAAACACCTAACATAGATTGTCTTTATTACTGCTTTGTATTATAATCAATCCACGTGAGTCTATTAAATGGGTAGCAGTTTATTAAGATATAAATTGAGGAAATACACTCACAAATACAGAATGGAGTAGACAGCAGAAATCATCCTCTGATCTGACTGGGAGTGAATCTACCTCTAGGCAGGAGCAAGGAGAAGGGCATGTAACCCTTCTCCAACCCCATATAAGAGGTCACGTACAACAGCAGGAAGCACCACCTCCTTTGGGCCGTATAGCCCAAGGTCATGGGTGAGCAAATACCGCTACAGATTTGCCTTTTCTTTTGTCTTTTTTTAAATGGGGGGGGGTCTTACTCTGTGACCTTGGCTGGCCTAGAGTACCCTTTGTAGACCAGGATGACCTTAAATCCATAGGCATCCTCCTGCCTCTGTCGCTTCGCTTTTGTAAATGTTAAGCACAGGTAGTAAAGTCACCAGCACCATTACTTTATATAGAGACTTCTATCAGAAACATATTTTGTAATTAAGATTTTCAGCAAGTTGTATTCCACTTGCTTTTGTTTTAGAGAAGTTTCTAGCCTAAAAAGAGTAAATAAGTCTAATTTGGAGGTTTTGTTTTTTGTTTTTTTTTTGTTTTGTTTTTTTGAGACAGGGTTTCTCTGTGTAGCTTTGCGCCTTTCCTGGAACTCGCTTTGGAGACCAGGCTGGCCTCCAACTCACAGAGATCCGCCTGCCTCTGCCTCCCAAGTGCTGGGATTAAAGGCGTGCGCCACCACGCCCGGCTGGAGGTTTGGTTTTTGTTTTTGTTGTTTTTCTTTTTTTTTTCCTCGAGACAAGGTTTCTCTGTGTAGTTTTGGTGCCTGTCCTGGATCTCACTCTGTAGACCAGACTGGCTTCGAACTCAGAGAGATCCTCCTGTCTCTGCCTCCTGAGTGCTGGGATTAAAGATGTGCGTCACCACCGTCCGGCTGGAGGTTTGTTTTTTGTTGATGATGTTCTCTCAGTCTATGGATTAAACACATGTGGATCACTTCGCACAGGTACTCTTTGTAAGTTGTGAGCTTGAAAATTGTTCCTGAATTTTTAAAAATATTCATGTATATATGTATGTAGTGTGTGTGTGTGTGTGTGTGTGTGTGTGTGTGTGTGTGTGTGTATGTGCATGTGCATGGCTGGTGCCCTCACAGCTCTGAAGGAGGCATTGGATCCTCTGGAATTGTCATCACAGCCTGTTGTGAGCCACCATGTCAGTATTGGTAATGGAGCCCAGGTCCTCTGTAAGAGCAAGTGCTCTTAACATTGAACCATCTCTCCAGCCCCTATGTGTGCATCTTCTTGTCTGCAGGTGATAACTACTCTCCCATATTTGGATGTGTGTTTGTGTTTGTTTTGATTTTGAGACGGGATATCTGGTATCCTAGGCTGGCCTCAAATTTACCTATTCCACCTGCGCCTGTGTGTGGGGAGTGGGATTATGTGTTTGTTTGCCAGGCAAGTTTTCTATCCACTGAGCTACATCCCTAGGCCCCCTCCCCCACGTTTGTTTCTAAAAGGTTAATTTTTTAAAAATTTTCTGTGTATGAGGGTTTTGTCTTCATATCTGTGTGTGCACTGTATGCCTGGCTGGTGCCTGTGGAGACCAGAAGAAGGTATATGGATCCTCTAGAACTGGAGTTAACAATGTGAGCTGTGACATGGATGCTGGGAATTGAACTCAGATCTTCGGGAAGAACAGCCAGTGCTCTTAACTACTGAACTGTAGATGTAACCAACCGTCTTATTAAATAAGAAACACAGAACCGGGCTGGAGAGATGGCTCAGAGGTTAAGAGCACCGACTGCTCTTCGAGAGGTCCAGAGGTCCTGAGTTCAATTCCCAGCACCCACATGGTGGCTCACAGCCATCTGTAATGAGATCTGGCAGCCCTCTTCTGTATACATAATAAATAAATCTTTAAAAAAAAAAATGTTTAAAAAAAAAAAAAGAAACATAGAACCAATGCAAAGAAGAAAGCTAAGAGCTAAAACCTTACCCTTCCTCCTGCGGTGGTCCTACCTCTCCGAAAGAGTGCTACTTCCTGTGTTAAAGTCTTTATATAGACTTTCGGTTCTGCCTTCTCATTGGTTGTAAACCCAGCCACATGACCGCCTCATCACTGCCTGTCTGTATAGACCTCCAGGTGTTCTATGGTTGGTATTGAGATTAAAGGCATGTGTCTCCAATGCTGGCTGTATCCCTGAACACACAGAGATCTACCTAGCTCTGCCTACCAAGTGCTGGGATTATAAGCGTACGCCACCACTGCCAGGCTTTCCTATGGCTTGCTAATAGCTCTGACCCCCGAGTAACTTTATTTATTAACATACAAATAACATTTTAATACAAAATAAAATATCACCATACTGAACCATTTCTCCAACCTCAACTTTTTTCTTTTTGAGACAGTGTCTCTGTTATGTAACCTTGGCTGTTCTGGGACTTATATAAACCATGCTGGCTTTGAACTCATCTATCATATGCCTCTTGAGTACTGGATTAAAGGTGTGTGCTGGCACTCTCAGAATTCCCACATTCTTTTCTTTTCTTTTTTTTTGAGACAGGGTTTCTCTAGTTTTTGGTGCCTGTCTTGGATCTTGCTCTGTAGACCAGGCTGGCCTCAAACTCACAGAGATCCACCTGGCTCTGCCTCCTGAGTGCTGGGATTAAAGGTGTGCTCTACCACTGCCTGGCTGGGCTGATTCGCACATTCTTTTTTTTTTGGTTTTTCAAGACAGGGTTTCAGGGTTTCTCTGTGTAGCTTTGCGCCTTTCCTGGAACTCACTTGGCAGTCCAGGCTGGCCTCGAACTCACAGAGATCCACCTGCCTCTGCCTCCCGGGTGCTGGGATTAAAGGCGTGAGCCACCACCGCCCGGCTGATTCCCACATTCTTTTACGCATGCCTTTTAATCCAGCACTCTGGAGGCAGAGGCAGGCAGATCTCTGAGTTCAAGGCTATCCTTGTCTGCAGAGGGAGTTCCAGGACAGCCTGAGTTGTTATACAGAGTTTCAGCCCCCCTCCCCCACAATTATTTATGTATAGGGGTGTTTTGCCTGCATGTATGTCTACACCATGAGTATGCAGTGCCCTAGGAGGTCATAAGAGGGTTCAGATCCCTTGGGACTATAGTTATAGTTATAGACATTTGTGAAGCACCTTGTGGGTGCTGTGAATCAAATACAGGGTTTCTGGAAGAGCTGCCAGTTCTCCTGACCACTGAGCCATCCCTCCAGCTCCAAAACATGGGTTTTAAAAACAATCTCCCAACTCATTCATCAGATCTAGAGGTACCATTTTACAAGCTTTCTCCAGAGCAGCAATGTTTTTAGTAATATTTTTAGTTTTTCTTTTTTTAAAGATTTTTTAAAAAATTATCTTTGTATGGGTATGAGTGTATCTGAGTGCAGTGCCCTTGGAGGCCAGAAGGTGTCAGATACCCTGGCTGTGAAGTTGACCATGTAGTTAAAGGCAGTTGTAAGTTATCTGATGTTGGTACCGGGAACTGAACTTGATTCTCTGAAAGTAATGCACAGACATAGAAATTCAAACACTCATACACCTAAAATAAAATTTAAAAAGAATTGTTGACTTTCTATAGAAGTGGCAGAACTTTGCGGGGGGGGGGGGGGGGGGGGGGGGGGGGGGGGGGGGGGGGGCTTAAAGAGATGGCTCCATGCTTAAGAATGCTTGCTGCTCTTGCACAGGACCCATGGGCACCAGGCACACACATAGTACACATACATATGTGCATGTAAAACACTCATAAACATGAAAGTTTAGAAAAAAGAAGTGACAGACCTTGAGTGAGCATTAGTCTAAATTAAATTCTTTTTTTTTTAAAAAAGATTTAATTATTTATTACACATACAGTGTTCTGTCTGCATGCCAGAAGAGGGCACCAGATCTCATTATAGATGATTGTGAGCCACCATGTGGTTGCTGGGAATTGAACTGAGGACCTGGAAGAGCAGCCAGTGCTCTTAACCTCTGAGCCTCTAGCCCCAAGAATTCTTTTTAAAATGTAAAGAGGGGGCTGTATCCATTTATTGTATAGTGATCATCTTACTAATAGAATGATAGATAGGGCCTTCTATCTTAAGACAAATCATTGACCACAAATAGCACTTGACGAGAAGGGCCTCTCTACTGCCTAGAATGGGAGAGCCTTACCTAATTTCTGTGAAGTGTGGATGTCTGACACTCAGGCTAGCAGTCACCACATCAAGTGTGTTTGTGTGCCTCAGATGTTCATTTCTACAGTACTGTGGTGTTACTGTAACTGAGGAAGGACTTTGTGTCAGAAGTAGGCTGTTACTGTAGTACTTTAAAGGGTATAGACAGACATCAGGATGTACCAGCAATTACCCAAGTGCTGGGATTCTAGGGAAATTTTTTTAAAAATAAAGACTTATCTTTCTTTTATGAGTATTTTGTCTCCATGTATATATCTCTGTACCCCATGTATATATATATGTATGTCTGGTGTCTGCAGAGATAAGAGGGTGCTGGATCCCCTTGAACAGGAGTTAGAGATTTGAACTGACATGTGGGTACTGGGAACCCAGGTCTTCTGGAAGAGCAGCCAGTGTTCTTAACCTCTGAGCCATCTTGAGCCCATCCCAGGAAATTTTTGGACAGAGTCTTAGGTAGCTAGTATAGCCTCAAACTTCTTAACTTTTGCCTCCATATCCCTAGTGCTGAGATCACAGATAACATATATGCCCACCCCAAGCTCTTTTTTTTTTCTCCTGGCTTCAGGTAACTGTTGGGTTATTTTACAATGGGTAAATGATTGTCATTCTTCCCATGGA